GACCTCGACCAACAGCCATCCAAACATGAGGACGGTCCGGGAGTCGGACCTTCAGCACGACCGTGCTGCTGCTTGACGCTCCGTTCCCTGCGGCTGACGGGCTATCCCACGGCAGCGTTCTTGTGCCGTGCGGCGATCTTATGCTTTCTCCAACGATCCCAATGTTTCTTGTGCTTTGGAGCCGTTTCGTTACAATTCAAGTTATAAATCCCGTTGTCAAGCTAGGTCCTGAGATCGTGACAAGCTTCATGCATTACTAACGCTTAATATTATTTTACTTAATTTATATATATATATATATATATATATATATATATATATATATATACATTATATCAAATATATATAAATGAAATAATACTTTTCCTTACTTAATATTATTATCATATAATTAATACTTGATGTATTATAGGCAGTTACTGGAGAGTTTGTCGGCTTACGTCGCCTGGGCGCTGACTGCCCACCGGAATTGCCCAGCAGAACTGCCTGCACCGGAACTGATCCGGATATTGGAGCGTACTCCGCGGTAGGAGCTAGACGACGCCAGGCCGTGTCGGGCTACTCAGGAGTCGGATGAGGAGTGACTCAATAGACTGCGAGTCACGGACGCAGTCCATCTCACTGGGCTGGAGGCTGGAGTGGACGACTGGCGCGCCTGAATATCGCGCGGTGTACGAGGCGTCCGCGTGAAACATCGCATACAGTGCGAGGCATTTGCGTGCGACGCATCACCCCGAGCGCAAGGCATCCGCGTGCGACACATTACCCCGAGTGCGAGGCATCCGCGTGCGAGGCGTCGCGCGGAGTGCGAGGCATCCGCGTGCGACACATCACCCCGAGTGCAAGGCATCCGCGTGCGAGGCATCGCGCGGAGTGCGAGGCATCCGCGTGCGACACATCACCCCGAGTGCGAGGAATCCGCGTGCGACACATCACCCCGAGTGCGAAACATCCGCGTGCGAGGCATCACGCGGAGTGCGAGGCAGACATGTCGGTCGCACCAAGCGTCAAAGCCCGCACCTTGGCTGACCTCCGACCTCTGCGGGCTGGGTAAAGCCATCGGGGACCGCCGGTCAGACAGCACCGAGGTCAATCACCCTGACGGACCCACGGGCGCACGACCTGTACCGCAGCAGGCGCCGCGCGGAGGCCTGGTGCCCACTGTATGAGCCTACTGGGTCCCCGACATGATCCAAATCTCTATGTCGACACCCTGTGTTGGTCCCTGTGCCGGACGACTCGACCCGGCCTCATCGCTCCGAAGACCTGACCTGAACCCCTGCCTGCGGAAGCCAGTGGCCTGAAAGCTTCGTGAACTGACGTGAATCCCTGGCTGTGCGTTCTGCTCTGATCCTGTGGCTCCGTCTCCTGGCCTGAATCCCTCGCAATGTAGCCTACCCCGAACCCCTGACCTGACCTGAAATGACATCACTGGCTGAGTGCTTTGACCTGAAACCCTGATGGTGTGACCTGACCTGAAAACCTCGTTGCACGACCTGACCCGAACCAGCCAGCTGCATGGCCTGACCTGAATCCCTGGTTGCGCGAGCGAACCAGCACCTGGCTGCGCCAGTTGCAGACGCTGGGGAAGAGGCTGCGGTCCACGGTGACGGCCTCCAGCGCTCGCAGCACGTCCAGGTCCGCGGTGGTGGGCTGGCGGCTGTGAAGGAGGCCGAACTCGCTCAACTCGACAATCGCCTTCAACTACGGGACGCCACTCGCTGGCGACACTCATTCATTGACAATGAAAGTTAACAAAGGCGGTTGGAACGGCGGTATCATTGGCGCCTTGACAAGGCTACTTACCGAAGGTTAAAACTGCTTCGGATGTGTAGTCCTCTACTACCGCTCTGCAGCAATACGGCACGAGATTTCGCCACACATGACAATGTTCACCGACGGAGATTCTGGTGAACATTTGCTGATAATGACGGCACGTGAACAACCTTGGCCATCAGTTCACAGCGCCAGTTCCCCCTTCGGTGAACTGGCCCGCGTATGAACTTCTGGCCAACCCGTGCACGAGCTGGCCAGCGTACAAAATTCTGACCCGTGTACGAACTCGCTGTACGGACAGGTTAGGGACGCCAGTTGCCATAGACTGACCCGCAGATGAACACCTCGGGCGCCTCGTCGGGCGTGGCTGGCGAGCCCGAGCCGGCCGACGAGGGCGGCGTGTAGAACTCCTCGCCGTCGCTGGCGTCGCTCTCTAGCTCCGCCGGCAGCGGCTCCGAGCACTGACGCTGGCGCAACAGCTCGCGCAGCCGGCCGCGGCGCGGCGCCGCCGGCGGCGGCGGCGGCGGCGCCACCTCCGCCGCCTCCTCCTCCAGCGAGCGCTCGTCCAGCCGCAGCTCGTGCAGATCCCGGCAGAGCGCGCTGACCGGCGAGAGGGGCGCGGCGCGCGGCGCGCGGCGGCTCGGCGGCGCCGGCGGGGCCGGCGGCGAGGGGCGGCCGGCCGCCTCCAGCCGCTGCGCCGCCTCCTCCAGCTGCGCGGTCTGCAGAGCCGGGCGATACCGTCAGCGCCCGCACTCAGCGCGGCGGAGTGTTTGGAGGAGTACCGGCAAGGACTGCTGCTGCCAGCCATGGGCCAATTGCCGGCGGCGTTGCATACAGTCGACATCCGGTCCGGTGCCCGGACTGAGCCGCACAACTGCGTAGGTCGGAGACGTCGCAGTCTACAGCACAGGGTGCGTTCGTACCGCCCCCATTCCAGGCGGTCGGACGGCGTCGTTGAGCAGCGCACATGATTCGCCTCAGGGAGCAGTGGATGACGTCATCGGACCACGCCCCCAGTCTGCTGCCCACCCAGGGCCCTGATCCGGGCTCAGGGACGGCAAGCACCACCACCGCGGGCGCGGAGTGAGCGATGCACGAACGCAAACGTCGAGCCCAGCTCTACAGACCGACCACAGCATTTCAGACTTGACGCTCCGCACCACCAACACGTCACCGCGCAATCTCTCCCGACATCCGTGCGGTGACTCACGTCCGCGCCACCCACAACGGGCCGCGGTCCTCCCACGACCGCCGCCGCCACCCTCACCGTGTCGAGCACCGCGCAGCCCTGCCGGTGCAGGTGATCCTCGAGCGCCTGCAGCCCCGCCTGGGAGCCGATGTCCAGGTGCCGGTCCAGGAACGGCCAGTACTCGCGCCACTCCACCGCCAGCTCGGACGCCAGCCCGCTGGCGGCGGCCGGGCGCGCGCCGACGTCACGGGCGGCACACGGCCGAGGCGTGACGCCACGTAACCCCCGTGACAGGCACGTGACAGACTCGTGAAGGACTCTTGATAGATGGTGGCAGACTCATGACGGAGTGATGAGAATGTGACAGAAGCATGACACACTCGCGATCGACTCGTGAGAACGTGGCAGACGCATGACAGACTCGCGACCGACTTGTGAGAACGTGACAGACACGTGGCAGACACGTGACAGGCTTAGTTACACTCATGACAGACCGTAACGGACTCGTGATCGATTCGTGAGAACGCGACAGACATGTGACAGACCCGATCACAGACTCGTGATCGACTCGTGAGAACATGACAGATCGTGACAAACTCGTGACCCCCGGCCAGTCACAACAGCGCTCAGGCAGGCCTACGCTGCGTGAGGAGGACGGCTGGTGGCTGTCCTGTCCAACCACTGATCAGCCCGTCGCCTGACACCCTCATCACCGCCGTTCCACCGTCCAGTTTCGAGCATTCCCCGCCACCGTCCCCGTGCGTGCACCTGGCCCACAGCCGTCTCTTCGGCGGCTGACCTCTGACCATCCTCCCGGGCTCCACGTCCAAAGCCCACCTCCCGGAAAGCAGCCCGCCCAGTCGCTGCACACGCGCGCATTCACCCGCACGCGCGCTGGCATGCACCCACGTGTGTGCATTCCATGCGTATGTACACTTGCAGATCCTCGCACACCCATGCACACCTCGCGTGTACAAAGGTGTCAGAACGCACGGGGGCCGGCCACTGATAATCCAATCCGAGGGCCAAATCGGTTCCGACATGCTTTGCATGGCCGGAACACAAACGCAGCCCACGCCTGCCACGTCACAGCGGTTGGGACCCCGCCATCCTGCGGCGGCCACGCAGACGCCGCTGCCCGCCGGCAGCACACCGCACCACACCCAGCCGCGCCAACACACGGAGACAGGGCCGGAGACGGAGCACGGAGACGGAGCCGGAGACGGAGCACGGAGACAGGGCCGGAGACAGAGCACGGAGACAGGGCCGGAGACAGAGCACGGAGACAGAGCACGGAGACAGAGCACGGAGACAGAACCGACCTACGGGCGGCGTTCACTCACCGGCCGACCCGTTCCCAGCCCTTGCTGGCGTCGCTCAGTCGAACGTCGTCCAGGGCGTGCGCCTTGCGGCTGCGGAGCGGGCTGACGCTCAGCGGCGAGCGCCAACGGCGGTGGAACTCATCCGCCAGCTGGCGCGGCATGGGGCCGGCCCAGGCGCGCGGCCGCAGCGGCGAGCCCACCGGCGAGCCCAGCGGCGAGTCCGGACTCTGGCGGCGGGCGGCGGCAGTCAGGTAACAGCGGGGTGTAGTACGGAGCTCGGACTCTGGCGGCGGGAGGTGGCAGTCAGGTAACAGCGGGGTGTAATGTGGAGTCCGGACTCTGGCGGCGGGAGGCGGCAGTCAGGTAACAGCGGGGCGTAGTGCGGAGCTCGGACTCTGGCGGCGGGAGGTCGCAGTCAGGTAACAGCGGGGTGTAATGTGGAGTCCGGACTCTGGCGGCGGGAGGTCGCAGTCAGGTAACAGCGGGGTGTAATGTGGAGTCCGGACTCTGGCGGCGGGAGGCGGCAGTCAGGTAACAGCGGGGTGTAATGTGGAGTCCGGACTCTGGCGGCGGGAGGTCGCAGTCAGGTAACAGCGGGGTGTAATGTGGGGTCCGGACTCTGGCGGCGGGAGGCGGCAGTCAGGTAACAGCGGGGTGTAGTGCGGAGCTCGGACTCTGGCGGCGGGAGGTCGCAGTCAGGTAACAGCAGGGTGTCATGTGGAGTCCGGACTCTGGCGGCGGGAGGCGGCAGTCAGGTAACAGCGGGGTGTAATGTGGAGTCCGGACTCTGGCGGCGGGAGGTCGCAGTCAGGTAACAGCGGGGTGTAATGTGGAGTCCGGACTCTGGCGGCGGGAGGCGGCAGTCAGGTAACAGCGGGGTGTAATGTGGAGTCCGGACTCTGGCGGCGGGCGGCGGCAGTCAGGTAACAGCGGGGTGTAATGTGGAGTCCGGACTCTGGCGGCGGGCGGCGGCAGTCAGGTAACAGCGGGGTGTAATGTGGAGTCCGGACTCTGGCGGCGGGAGGCGGCAGTCAGGTAACAGCGGGGTGTAATGTGGAGTCCGGACTCTGGCGGCGGGAGGCGGCAGTCAGGTAACAGCGGGGTGTAATGTGGAGTCCGGACTCTGGCGGCGGGAGGCGGCAGTCAGGTAACAGCGGGGTGTAATGTGGAGTCCGGACTCTGGTGGCGGGAGGCGGCAGTCAGGTAACAGCGGGGTGTAGGGTGAAGCTCGGACTCTGGCGGCGGGCGGTGGAAGTCAGGTAACAGCGGGGTGTAATGTGGAGTCCGGACTCTGGCGGCGGGAGGCGGCAGTCAGGTAACAGCGGGGTGTAGGGTGAAGCTCGGACTCTGGCGGCGGGCGGTGGAAGTCAGGTAACAGCGGGGTGTGGCGAGGAAACCAGACTCTAGCGGCGGCAGTCAGGCAACAGCGGGGTGTAATGTGGAGTCCGCGCCCCAACTCCTGCTAGACGAAGGAGAAAACCAGGGCACGGCATGTTGTCTGATTAGTACAATCATAATCATGAAGTTAATTTCACCGTTAAAGAATGAATGATACACAATGCAATGAGAAAGCAAGCGAGGGGAGTAAGAGCACCGACTTGCACCGATGCTGTTCCGGCCGACCCACCCAGCTGGGGTCAAGGTCACTGACCTTCACCGGAGCGAGCGCGCGTCACTGACCTGCACCGGGGACTCCCCGACTGGCCTGCCCTGCTGTGGCGAGCAGGGCGGCGCCAGCACGGGCGGCTCGCAGCCGTCCGCGTCTGCCAGCACCTGCACGTAGTACGGGTCCTGCAGCAAGAACGCCAGCTGGCGCGCCGCGTCCGCAGACTCGCCGCCCTTGCTCTGCTTGCAGATCACCTGCCGGGCACGCACGGCGTCACGCCGGCTGGTGCCGCGTCACGGCGTCACGTCACACGGCGACGCGTCACACGGCGTAACGTCACATGGCGTAACGTCACACGGCGTCACACTGGCTGGTGCCGCGTCACAGCGTCACGTCACCGGCGCCACGTCACGCGGCGTGACGTCACATGACGTTACGTCACACGGCGTCACACCCGTGCCGACTGGTCCCGCCAGGCCAGCGCGGCTCCCGACGACGGCGGCCGTTACACCCGCGGCCCATCTGCATCCCAATGGCTTGTCCCTGTGTCTCCGAACAGCTCGAGCCATTGTGACCTGTCCGCTGTCTCCCTGGTCTGCTGCGCGTCTCTATGACCCGTTTGAGCGCTTTTGACCCGCCCGTGTCTCTCGGTTGTCCCCTGTCTCGCTGACCCGTGAAGACCGTCTTACTGACCCTGTCTTCAAAGACGACTGTCCCTTCCGCCTCTCATCCATCCTCGCGTCTCTCAGCTCTCTTCGCACGTTGGCATCACTCCTGGTTCCCTGGCCAATCCCTTGTCTCTGCGCCAGCGCGCGTCCCTGACCTGCCACTCTGCTATGACCGCTTCCTCGTCCCTGCGCCGCACCCGCGTCCCTGACCTGCCACTCCGCTATGACCGCTTCCCCGTCCCTGCGCCGTACCCGCGTCCCTGACCTGCCACTCCGCTATGACCGCCCCTCGCCCCTGCGCCGTACCCGCGCCCCTGACCTGCCACTCCGCTATGACCGCCCCTCGCCCCTGCGCCGCACCCGCGTCCCTGACCTGCCACTCCGCTATGACCGCCCCCTCGCCCCTGCGCCGTACCCGCGTCCCTGACCTGCCACTCCGCTATGACCGCCCCTCGCCCCTGCGACGTACCCGCGTCCCTGACCGGCCACTCCGCTATGACCGCCCCTCGCCCCTGCGCCAGCGCGCGTCCCTGACCTGCCACTCCGCTATGACCGCCCCTCGCCCCTGCGCCAGCGCGCGTCCCTGACCTGCCACTCCGCTGTGACCGCCCCCGCGCCTCTGCACCGCACCCGCGCCCCTGACCTGCTCGGGCGTCTCGCCGAACTTGTTGCGGACGTCGCGCTTGCAGGCCGGGTGCCGCACCAGCTCGCGCACCACCTCCACGTGACCGAGCTTGGAGGCCAGGTGGAGCGGCGTCTCGTACGTGCCCTTGGTCGGCACGTTCAGGTAGAGGTCGGTGACCCGCCTGGCGCGCGCGGCTGCCACCTGCCGAGGTCAGAGGTTACAGGTCAGATTCGCTGACTGGCGACGCCTGGCAAGAGGGACATGCGCGGACAAGACACGCCAACAGGAGTAAACAGCTGGCCCAGGCAGGCATGGGCCCAAGCGGACGGACGGTGGCGGTTGGATTCGGATGGAGGCGGTTACCTTGGAGACCCCTAGCCCACAGAATATAGTGCTGATGGTGTTTAATCCAGTTGTTGGTGCGCAGGCGGGAGTCGGCTAACATTCATCATTTCACCTTTTGCCACTCACATGTCGCACCCACCGACAAGCCCCAAACGCGGGCTTCATTGGCTAGTCAGGGCCCATCGCTTATCGTTCCGGAGCGGCCTGTGACAAGCAGCCTGCACTTGACATGGTAATTACAGTTCGGGTGGCGTCCCTGGCGTACGTTCATTCGCACCGGGGCCCAGGGTCAGCCTCTGACATGGCATACTGCCAACCATCCAGAGGCCCATCCAGGACATGCATCCAAACTGCACATCAGCATTCTTGGTCAGCCGCAGTCAACTGTGCAAGCATGTCTTGGCCACGCATGCTCTGAAACACGGCCCGCGCACATGACTTCTAGCATGGGTGGGTACAGCTCCTGACATACAGCCCCGGCACATAACACGCATGTCGTCCGAGTACAGCCTTCGACGTGTAGAACCAGCGCCCGCCGCCCATCGTCCAGGTGAATCCTCTGACACCCCCGCCCGGTTCGCATCAGGCTCTCCACCCACATCCAAATAATCATCTTGCTGGTACACTCTCCATTTTGCATTATATCTCACTACCATTCTATCATTGACTAAGACTACGACATATGGCTACTGACTATGACTATGACATGATTGTTGACTACTATCATTGATATGACTATCATTCTATCATACTATCTGAACTCGCATCCCGGGTCCACACTCTGACACACACCGCTCGTCCATCGTCCCGGTCCAGCCGCTGACATCGCGTCCCCGCCCGCTCCGGGCCGCTCGTCCCGGTTCAGTCTCGGACCCACCTCGGGCTCATCGTCCGGGTAGAGGATGCGGAAGAAGCCGGGCTCGGCGACGGCCTGCAGCAGGCGGCGGCAGACGGCCGGCCGGCCGTGCAGCGCCGCCAAGTGAAGCGCGTTGTGGCGCGGCCCCTCGCGCAGCAGCGCCGGCGCGTCGCCGCTACTGACCAGCAGGCGCGGGTTGCGCTCGACGGCCGCCGCCACGGCCGCCTCGTCGCCGTGCTCCACCAGCGAGCGGAACGCCTGCCGAAGGCGCACAGGGCGCGTGACGCCGGCGGAGGGCGGCCACAGGGTGGGGGGCACCGCGTAAGTCGGTACCGCACGTGGACAACGTTATTGTTTCAGTCTCTTTTCGCTGTCTGTACTCATGGGCCGAAAATGGAAACATGTCACGGTTCAACCACGTAAATCTGAAGTCCGAGCTCAGCGGCAATGATGAAATCTGGAGTATTAACCCGAAACTGGATGGCCACTGCACTACATACATCCCGCCCACCGCTGCCAGCGTGAGGTTCGACACGAAACACTCCTGACGCGGAGCGCCCAGGTCACGGTCTGCTACAGTCTGCCGTCGCAGCCCGCTCGGCACGTGGCGGTAGTCACGCGCTCCCGGTCTGACCGACGCCCCCGGCTCCCGCCTGCGCGAGGCCCGACGCCGACGGGAGCCGGCCGAACGTACAACGACGGTCCCGCCTCGCTCCGCCCCGCCCCGCCCGAACCTCACCTGGAACTCCGGCCGAGTGGGGTTCCTGAAGGGGGACGGCTTCTCGCCGCCCGCGGCGGCGGCCGGCGCGGCCGCGGGCGACGTGGGCTCGGCCGGCTCCAGTCTCTGGCCGCTGTAGACGGCCGCCAGCTCGCGACACGTGAACTGCTTGAAGCGGGCCGTCTTGTGCGTGCGCACCGCCGCCTGCACCTCCTGGATGCTGGTGCACACCAGCGGAACATCTGCCGGGGAGCACCGCATCCGGTGCCGGGTGTGACCTCACAAATCGGCGTCCAACGGCTCAGCGGAAACTCATCTTTCAACGAGCGCAGTCGGAGGCTCCTATTCAGAGCACAGTACGCAAAGATCACCGCACCAGCGTCTGCTGCTCTACACGAGGCCGTGCTCGGGACCAGCAGTCACATGGGATGATCATCGAACCAGCGCCACAAATGCTGCACCTACATAGTTTCATATGCAGCAGCTCCGGCGAATGGTCCAAATAGGCCAAGCTGCCCTGTAACTAAAATGTTGCTTGCTTGTGTTGTCTCGCACATAAATATGTTGAACTTGCTCTAGAGTGCTATTCAGAGTGCTATTTAGTACCTAGAGCACTATTCAGTAAGCATTTAGGCATAAGATATTACAGCCAGTTCCACTAACACAAAACTTTGGAGCTGTAATTTGCTGAACACAATAACTCTTGCAATGAATATAAATCAGATACCCTACCACTTCCATGATTTGGTTCTGCTGTCTGAAGTGACTAACTGATGAGAAATGAATGCTGAAACACCCCTGATCGTCACAAGAGACATGAGGAGGATATATGCATGGCTGAATGTGTGTGAGTTGTACAGCATTGAAGATTCAACTTACCCTGCAATTGCATTTAACATGATAAGCTCACATGCTGTCAAGGCCAATCAGCATGTGAGCCAGTATGTGAATATGTACTGAAGCAGGCATAAGTGACTTGTGACTGCCACCAGCTGACTGGTAGCCAGGTATTTTGGGAAGCCAAAGACCAAGATGACCATTGCCACAGCACAGCAAAAGCAAACACAAAATGATGCATTGTTATTTATGCATGCCCACCCATACAGACACTAAATTACTGACACACCAGAGTTTGTGGACATGGCACCACTTACCTTCTGGTCTTTGGGCACCTTCAGGCAGACCTAGGTTGACACCATAGAATGTTGACGGATGATTTCCAGCACTGAAATAAGAGAAAGTCCATTGCTCATTATCTAGTAACATCATCTGAACAACTGTACCATTTATCAAAAGGCTATAATGACACAATCAGAGCAGACATCAAAGCACCATATTGATTTCACTATTCCTGCCAAGGTAAATGTCATCATGTGCACAGGAAACTATAGTTCTGGGGCAATGAATGGTGTGCCCATTTTGCAGTCATTTTGCAAACAATCAATGCAGACCAGGGTACTGTTTCACAAAATAGGTTGGAAGGGGCTGGGGAGGATAGAATGGTGAAAAATTGTATCATGAAACCTACCCCAAAGACACACTTCTTTTCAAAGTTAGGGGTAGGGGTGAGCGAGGGCTGAAGCTCAAGAGGAGCAGGGGTGTGGCACTGCAACTGAATAGAAAACTATACCCCGGCTCTATGCTTAAGCATAAGAAGTGTTTAATGAAAGTATAAGGACATAAAGATATTGGGACAAAAAGGAGCCACTGGGGTCCATCAAGGCTGACCTACCTCAAGTTTCACATGCATTCTCTAAACTCATCTTAGCACCTGACCTGTCTGAATTTAGCTATAAATGGCATTCTTAGACCTTTAGAGCTGGTCCAAATGATTTCTAAATGTTACTGGAGGGGGATCTGGATCAACAAAATGCTGAATCAACAAAACAGTTAATGCAGAGTAAACTGTAATTTGCACCAGTAGTCCTTTCATCATGGTAAGGTTTTTCATGAATTTCTTGTTATCATGATTGATGATGATGATTTGGGCTTTGGGGCATGCTGACTACATTGGTCATGTGGTGCCCATATAATGATTGATGGCTGCCTTTTGTTTTTTATTCATGCTTCTTATATAATGCAACTCATAACAGGCCATGGGTCAAGACAGTGACATTTGCACCATAATTCAGGTAATTCCAGGAGTTTTGTAACTCACTGCCAGCCTGCAAAAATAACATTTATTGCACTGGAAGCTGAAGTACATCAGTGCTTCAAACTTCATGCTTGTGTGTACTGAACAAAAGCCAGCCAAGCTTGCATTGACTTCAACCATTACTCTTGCAAAAAATTATTGCAGAATATCTTTGCATGATACTGCCTTTGTAATATCATAACTTCAAGAAGCATTGGCCCAGCATGCATTTCAATTAATGGTGACTGTGCCCAACTGAGAGCTTACATTTGTGAGGGATATGCATTGAAATTGCCAATATTTTTATTCTGGTACAGATCCCACATAACATGCATTGCCATGTTTTTAAAGAAAAGTTATAACAATTATTTTCTTTCATTTTTTGCCCAATGCTTCAGAAATTTTGGGTTCACTTCATTAAGATCATTTAGGTGGTGAGACCAAATCCAGCAAAACTTTCAGTACAATATCAAGATTACTTACAATGCATGGTTGTAAATAGGCCACAGCTGTCAGTATTGTTGTCAGTGGAAAATGTGGGGCATGTTTACATGCTTTCACATTTTAGTTAATCATGTCCTACCAGTAACAGCTTTAGCTCTCTGGGTCCAGACTACAAAATATGTATGTTGCTATGACCATGTCCTGCCTGGCAGCAGCATCACTGAAACAATTCCAGTATTTATGCTCTATAGACTTTGGCATTGAGAGTTCAGTGCATAGCACTACCCATTTCAAACCAAAGGGAGCCAATTCTTCAGGGAAATAACAATGTTGTAAGGGTAATCTCAAGACAAAATACTCTGAAGACATTTTTCAAGCAAAAAACATTACAGAAATCAGAGCAATTCAGTATGACCTCACTTCAGCACATGAGAGCTCAAGGTTCTGGTCACTGATGGGTGGGTATCTGGCAGAGGGTATTTTTGCAGACTGGAGAAGGGTGAGTTATTCAGTTCTTTTCACCATTTTCACTCTATTACAATTCCAAAATTACACAAAAACAGTAGCAGTGAGTCAGAAAGGGCAATAATCATGAGTTCAGCACAATCACCACTGAAAGACATGGTGTAAGGTCATGTGACCATCCTGGGAATGGCTCAATTATGGTCACAACACACAAGCATATAGTCAGGTAAATAGGTGGAAACTAGCTCCCACTACTTTAGATTGACATTTTCAAATCAACAGGTTGTAAGCATATCAACAGGCGGGCCCATGGTGACGTATGGTCTGCACAAGCAGCTCAAACTGACTTAAAATAGGAGCATGTGGCACGCATCATCCATGATCATGCGCCTACTTGTAGGTCCACGCAACGTTTCATTACCTTCTGGCATCATCTCCTTCGCTCATGTCAATGTATTTGTTATGCCAGCTGTGGACGTAATACAGGAAACTGCGAACGAATAGTTTGCCCAGGGGCGCTGCCCTGCATTACGCACCCCCCTAAACGTCTTCACAGAAATGACGCGTTGTTTAAAAATATCACAGTTTCTGCCTTTCATGCGTTTGTTTTGTATGATACCAAAGCTACCAAATAGTTTAAAAAACTTCATGCGCAAAAAGACCTCTGTAAAAGCCGACGAGAATGATTTTTCTGTGCGATGTCGTTCGACGTTGGATATGCCCACTTTATGTCAGTGGGCCATTGCAAATAACACTAAAACGTGTGAGGTGGTCAAACAGACTTCGTTTGAAATCGATTAACCCTTGAGTTCACTTCTAGGGGGTGTCTCATCGCTATGAGTGGATTCAGCTTTCGAGTTACGTTACGTTACGTTAGGAGCCAAGTTACAATAAGCTCACAAGTCTTGCTGCTCGATCTACGGGGTTCGCGAACCGGAGGAAACGCTCTGTGCTTTTTCGGCACGTAGAGGACATCTAGGAATGCGACGATATGTAACCCTCAATCAGGGGCGACGACACTATGGGGACGTCGGGAACGGGTTGCGGACACAGGTGCAATAGAAAGAAAGTGCATATAACAATTTTTCGCGTGATTAAGGTGTCGCTTAAGTTCGTCAGGATGAAGTGAGGTATTAAGTTAGTACCAGAAAAAGTTTGCAATGAAAAAGGACGTATAGATAACGATGGCAAGGAGAGAGGTTCGTCGGAAAAGGGTTCGCAGCGCAAGTGTTTATAAGCGCACGAGTTCGTATGGAAAGAGGTCGTAAACAGTTGCTTGTATGCGAATGCTCGGGCGCATATGTTTGTTAGGGACAACTTTTGCTTAAAAAAACACTTTAGCACAGTTACTTGTCTGAGGTTCGTAGCAGTTTGATACCCATGTTCAGCAAAAATTGACGACCCTTCTACTTTCACGAAAATTGCGCAAGAGAAAGGCCGAAGTGCACTAGCAGCCTATATCTGGACGCAACAAATATCGATCTGGCCTACGGTGAAGTCTATAGGTTGCAGGTTTTGATGTCCATGAAAAGCCGAGAGATGCCCTCCTTATTTGAACTGTGCTATGTTTATAATGTTTCTAAAAAAAAATCAGAGGGGTCGGAATTTTACAAGTCCACAGGTGCCATATAAAATTCAGTGGTAAATGGTGTATTGTGACAGGAACTGATTTTATGCGTACGCGTATTTTTCCAACTTTTTAACTAGGCCTCATTCAATCAAGCAAGTAACATCATTCAGCTCCGGTTTTTTCTGGAAATGTGTCACTTACATTTGTTTAAGTGGGGTCATCACGTAACCTGACATGACCTGCACTCCAGTTCAGTGCTTAATTAAGCACTTTTTATTGTGTTTAGTTTAATTTAGCAATTGTCGCATCGGGCATGATAACAGGGAAGTGTACGCTTTGCGCAAGGGTGCCGTTGTTGAGGCAGTTTCGGTCAAATACATGGCAAATAAACTTTGACCTGCCTTATTATCGATGATATGAAGCAGTCTGCCTGGAAGTGCGGCCGTCGATTCATCAGAAGGAACTTGACATGGCATATCGGGGAAGCGTTATTGGGGCCCATCTGGGCTAGTTATATGGGCCAATCTGGGCTGGTTACGTGGGCCCCAGCTGGACTGGCCCGTGGTGGGCTGGCCTAACTGAGTTACCCAGGCGGGTCCCAACTGGGCTGCCCACATGGGAACCACCTGGGCTGCCCAGGCGGGTCGCATTTGGGCTGCCCAGGTGGGTCCCATGTGTCCCAGGTAAGCCCCACAAGGGCCCCACATGGGCTTCGATGTAGGACCCAGTTGGTTGCCCATGACATGCCCGTATGGGCCCGAGGTAGCAAGCCCAGATGGGCCCTATTTGGTTACCCATCTCGGACCCACATGGGTCCTGGTTGTAAACGTTGGATGGGTTCCATGTGTGCCCCAGTTAGGCCTCCCATTGGCCCAACAACGGTCACCCATATGGGACCCAGGTGCTTGCCCATGACATGCCCACATGGGACCAAAGTGGACAACCTTGGTGGGCCCCATATGACTGTCCAACTGGGACCAATATGGGTCCCAGTTGGACGTGCTGGCTGGGTGACTTTCTCCACCTTAAAACGCTGGCTCCATTTGTGTGCACATTCAATTAAAATAGGCTGATATGGGCCCCAGCAAATAAGGTTGCACTCATTTGTGTGTTATTAATCTTCGATAGTTATATATTTTGCACATCCTTTGGGAATATCTTTTGGTGTGTTTGGCTTAATATTGTTTTCAGGGCCTTTCTGAAATCTGCATAATATTTCAGACCAAATGGTGTATTATATGAAACCAGTTTTTCGACACATAACGGATGACCCCTTATGACCTCTGGAGGTCAAACCTCTCGATGTCCAACAAAAAGCTTTTACGTATGTTGTCAGTACACTTTGGATTTTCTCGCAAGTTTCGTGGCATTGGTGGGGTTCGGATTTCGATAAATGACGCAAGCGCACAAAGTTTGTATGTAAATTTTGGTCGGGTACGAAGCTCTTTTGACAATATGCTCTCACAAAACCTCGTATGCAGATGCGTGCTGTACGGTGAAGTACAGATTTTCATCCCTCGTGCTGAGCCTCAGACGGAATATTACCTATTAGGCTACCACGACCTGTGTGAAGGGGATGGTGGCGAACGGCGGTGGCTGGGAATGTCGGGTCAAATGTTATAACCAGCCCAACTCTTCACGGCCTGAGATGGAACGTCCGTTGGCGGCCACCAAATGAACCTTTTCAATAGGCAGGAGGGGGGGGGGGGATCCATTTTAAAGTGTGGGAGGGACCAGACAGAAAATACACGACCTGACCTCCTCTATCAAAAGTTCTCAACGGTTTTGTTCCCTTCCATTTTCAAACTTAAAGGAAAGGGTAATTTTTATGAGTATTGTTATAACTGCACGGTAACGCCGCCCTCTGTTGAGAGAATCAAATATGTGCATTATTGCCGGATGCACTTCGTTTTGAGCGAAACAGTTTCGTAGAATTTGATAATCTTGCTTTTCACATGCATACTGTGGTCGCATTTGGCCATTTAGATGCGATGATAGAGGGAAGGGGAAGATGGGAAACGAGGATAATACACTATCGACATATTCCAACCTCCATATTCTCAGACAATGACGTCCGCTTTCACGACCACGACACCCAACAAAGAAAATAACGATCTGGGAAGTACCGCAAGTATTCAAGAAGGAACCTTCATTTCATATTGGTGTCGATCATGAACGGATCGCCATCAAATACCACTCCTATTATCTACCCCACCTCGAGGTAATTCCCGCAGTATTTTCGCGTCACGACTGCAGTGACCGCGTATTATTCTCGCTTTTGATAGCTCGGGCTCACCTCCAGTACACTGCTGACCACTGCAGTGGTCTGGTCTGGCCTGAATAGCAGGTGCCATTGAAAGGCCACGAGAAGAGTAGTGTGCCAACGCATCGCCGCCTTTAAAATTCCAGTGGTTTCCATCTTCGCCACTCGTGATTGCCAATCAGCTCAGACCACGAGTCCACTCACTGGCTGGTCCGCGACTGGTTAGAAAATTACGGCTAAGTCGAACACGTGAACAGATATTCTTTGCATCTTCGCGCATTGAATTATATCGTCTCACACTGTCACGACATGGATTTCATAGGGAAGACGACTGCTTCGCTATAAAACTGTGTTAACCTAATTTGAGGGCTGGGTCGAGGGGCAGGCTAGGTCCGTCATGACCATCATCATACATCTATTTGATGTTGTACGAACGATGACACAAAAGCAGTATGGCAATGTATTCAGGTTCCCTTTGGGTCACCTCAGGTTCATGTGAGAAAATGTGGACCTTTACAACCTTTTCCATTTCATCTGGCCATGAATAACAAATATATGGATAATGGTGAAGTGTAAGTCAAGTAACTTTAGTTTACCGTAACGTTATATATATATATATATATATATATATATATATATATATATAATCCGACTGCTAGTGTAGTAACAGCCCAATCCACAAAAGCATCATACAAAGGAATAATTCTGCTGAAGTGATCCGGAAACTAACGTGTTTCTGTGTCGAGCATATAATTATGTTTTGAACCTTAATGTCTACCGGGGCTAAAGTTCAACAACTAGTCCAAGTATAGACCTAATTGGCAACAGGTCACTCAGACCGCCATTGTGAGATGCACAAAACATTGTGGATGATAAAAACCGGGTGTCCCAAACATGAATATGTCATTTAACTTGGAAATAGCTGTTTATGCCATGCTTGCTTAGCTCTTGGCATAACGTGTGGTGTCTAAAATGGCTATTATATGATTTTACCTGTGCGGGGTTACATTCACCGTTGTCTAGTTACACTTATCCGATACAGTTTGACAAGATGTTTCTAATACCGTTTTCCCACGGCTCTGTCTTATTCAATTTCAAGATATAATGGATGTGGGCCCTGCGACCTCTTCTCTAAACTGAAAAAGTTAAAAATCTATTGTGATCGATTATATCCCGAGACACCCGGGACGCTTTTTCCGTTTCCTTTTCCGTTTTTCCGTTTTTCGAGAGTGTTGACAGCCGGCGGAACATCTCAGGTGGGCCGGTTCAACTGATTGAAATAGCTCTGAACAAAAGGTTTGTGAAAATGGCGGGCCTCGAGGTTATATGGAGGTCTGAGCAGGGTAGGCTGGTGCATCCATGGTGGCCAGCAAGCCACCAGAATGGGTAGCTCCAAGGAGAAGCGAGTGGGGAGCAGCCATTTCCGGCAAGACGGTAATGAAGCAGACATGTTCCCACTTTAACACGCGCTGGGGTGGAGGGTCAATTTACCCCACCCCACCCCCACACCCACCCGATGGTTTTTCCACAGTCATTTCCGAAAGGCGTGGCGTATCCACGCTAAACTCTGCATAGCTGTAGGTAATGGAATAGCGGATCTTTTGGTATGAGAATTAGACGCGCCTCGAAAGATCGCTCACTCATGGCAGGTCAGTCAGGCCGTGCCCGTCAGCAAAACCATTTTCAAGGGAATCACTTAATCTGATGCCACAAC